CACTTATGTTCAATGAAATTACCAAAGTTCTCTGCGCCCAATTTCTTTGCAATTTCCAGTCCTTTTTTGACTTGAGCAGCTGCATAAGCAAAGACATGTGCATCTGGATTGGTAGAAGCCCCATTCATGTATCTGGAAAAAATTATGTTATTTTACAACAGTTTTGGTTTGGCTGCATGCAGACTGCATTATGCCCTTGAAACCCAGTTGTGTCACATGAAACTCAGTCATGTGACTGACATTATACCTGTAGCATTTTTGTTTCAGTGCAAATGCCTGCAAAGCATTATTTTTTGAAAGTCCTATTAGTGTAAATAATGTCTAAAGGTGTTTTTAAAATGTATTTGAAATTACACCTATTAAGATATTTAGCATGTATTTTTCAAAATAATGCTTCATCAACATTTTGAAAAATAATTTTAGGGTTAAAAGAATTGTAATTAATTTGAGATCAGGGATAACAATCTACCCTTGCGTACAAATGACTCAAAAACTACCTTGGATTTGCAAACAARTTACATGTTGCCCATAATAGCTTCACTCCAGTCTTCTTCTGTAACTCAAGAGCCAGATCAGTAATTTCATCCAAGTTTGCATTAGTTTCAGCCAAAGTTTCTCCCTCAGGAGCCACATCTCTACATAAAAGTTAATATATTAAATACATTATTATAAGAAAAATAGGAAAGAACAATCAAATCTATTTCATAGAAAAKGAAAATCTTATAATTTTCCAAACCTGTCATGGAAAGTCCAGTAAGGAACTCCAAGTTTACTGAAGAACTCAAATGCAATTTCTAATCTCCTCTTTGCATTTTTCATGCTGTTGGTACCATCATCCCATGGCCGATGTAGTGTTGGGAAACCAAATGGGTCAGCGCCTTGCAATGTTCAATAAAATATCATTAATGTAAATTTGGGAGTTATTTTTCAAAATGTTTTCAAGATGTAGCTGTAGGGTAATTGTGGAAAAACATAACAAATATGTAGTCCATATGCTCTGATCATCTTTTCAGGTGCTGTAATTATTCTGCTATCTATATAGCACACATAAAACACTTTTATAAAACATTATTTTATCATTTTTAAAAGAGAAAGAGCAGTGTGTCTCTATAATCAGATATTAAAACAGTTATTAACTAATCAGAACTCACATTATATCTCAAATATTTCATAGAAAACCATTACTCTCCCTTTGTTTTATCTCCTGCATTTACTTTTGTTGGGCTTCCTTTCCCATCTTAATAATAATAATATAATTATGTAATATAATTAATATATAGCGCATTATCACACTGTATCAATGCGCTTTCACAACGAAGTAATGGTCGGACCGCTATTTAAGGCGCTTTGCAGCCACGCGGCTTACAATCATGAGTGTGGGACAATCTTGGCAGGGACAGGAAGCCCAACAAAAGGAAGGACTGCAAAAGATGATTATATATCAAGTGCCCACAATAAGGGCATAATTCTCCATTCAGTCGCCAAGCTTATATTAAGAAGCCACTTCCTGGAAATTTAGTGTAAAGAGACCAATGTATTGATGTCTTAGTCAATCAGTAAACCAGACACTTATTTGTGTTCTTTAATTGTTAGTCAATCAACTAAACAATAACTTGTTGGTGGTTTAGTTAATCAGTTAACCAGACACTTTGTTGTTTAAGTCACACAAAAAATAAGATAAGATAATAATAAGATAATTTGCTATTGTGTAATATAGTCAGTTAACCAGACAATAAAATTAATGTAAGAATAGGGATACCACTTTATAATGTCAAAGTAACATTGTAGCTACCTCTCACAAATAGGTAAATACATCTACTTAGCTAGTGTACCTTGATGACTACCCTGTTTGGAAATACTTGCTGGCCTTATACCTACCTGTTCCTCTAAATGTATGCCAGAAGCAAACAGAAAATCTACACCATTCCTCCATTGTTTTCCCATGAATTAACTGAAACATAAATCAACAATTGAGATGGATTAGTTGCCCTTTTGTTATTGATAAACAAAGTTTCTTCTTGTTCTTATTTGAAAAACAAGACTGTCTAACACTAGAATTTAGTTTCGTAGCATACTACTCGAAGCTCCAGGCACATGTGCATACTTCTGATGCTTACACTGATGCATTCCGATGAGATCACGGATACCACATTTGTAAACGAATAGTTTTTTTATCACATAAAAGCGCAAGTAGCATATAACATTTACTAATATATTCGTACATCTATAATACGTTTGAGCTTCCGGTCATGTAATAACACAGCTAATCCAATAGTTAATTATTAAATTTTTAACTTCCGGTGGTCCAAACGCGACAAAATACACAGATATATAGATAGATTGATTGGCTAAAAGGTAAAACTCAAGTCGACCTAGCCTTCGGCTAGTCCGACTAATAAAAGAATATATTACATTGCTTTCTACAAATAAGATCTCGAAACTGGAGTATTACTCCAGGATAACAAGTCTGGTGCAGTTTTAAGCAGAAACCAATTGTTATTACGACCACGTCCACAAACATTTTAAAACATTTCTATTTTAAAAATTAGTCTAATTATCCATCTATAAGTTTACCTCTTTAGAATTGTAGTGCTTAAAACACAGTACATCGGTAGCACCAGCATTTGGTTTGTACTCTATCTTTGGAATTCCTACAAATAAGTTAAAGTTAAGTTGAGTCTTATTAGGAAGCGCGTTTGCACGACTAACGCTATAATTAATGACACTATCATACCCTCGAAATGATCTCTATCGAAGTCATCTTTATCTGTCCTTTTAGTTTTCTTTGATGCCGGAGCAAAAGACGACATTATCAATAAATTTGTTGGGCTTTTTAAAGAAGATCTTCACTTTACTTGCGCAACTGTCCACTGGTCGTGCAGGTACTAGTATCACCACCACAGGGAAGCACGGACCTGCACGCATGACCTCCAGTTGCGCAAGTGATTTTCTTGAACAGCGGCTGCTCACAGAAAAAAACAAAATGGAGGACGATTCGCCAGTGATCTATGGCTTGGAGTTTAACGTAAGCTCTTAGAGTTTTAGCAACAGGGTCCGCAACAGGGGCGGTTAGTAGCAGGGTAGATAAACTCGTCTGCCGGATAAAGCTGTGTAATCCAAAGATTTGTATGGATTTTATCTGCTTGATAATAATTTATCCGATGGCACACTTCGTACAAGACCCCCTAATTATTGTATTTCAAGTTATAAGCTCTTTTACATTGTGCATTAGCAGCCTTACTTTGATATTGTTTTCTTGAGTTAAGTAGGAGAACCGTGTAAAATGTTTGCAGTTTTAAAATTAGACTGCATACTAGACAATATCAAATTATTTGCTTTTGTGTTTAAAAATTGTTAAATTTAAAAAAAGTTAAACTTATAAGCTTATTAGTAAGCTGAATAGCCTGATGCATTCTTAATGTGACGATATCTTCCTGACAGGCAAGAGCCCTTTGTCCTCAACATGCTGAATCAGATGTTATCAGATTTTTAGTTGGATCTCAATCCCTAAAATTTGAAAATCAGGTAATTCTGAATGTTGTATTAGGGATGAATGTAATAGTTAGGTACAGAATAACCGGAAATAAACTGTAGTTTGCAAACCATAAAATCAAGGTTCCAGCTAGA